AGACTGCGCATTTGGCAATGTACACACACAAACCACAGGCAGGATCTTTCAGAAGCTCTAACAAGATTAAGACTGCAGGCTCCCTCTCCAATGCACAATAGACTACTCACATGAAATGAGGAAGCAGAACTCAGCTCTTTTCTGACTACAAAAGTCATCAGCAGTAGCAAGGTATATCACGTCAGATAGAACCTTCTATAGAAAAGATTTTCTTCTTCCAGTCTTCTTTCTCTCCATTGCAAGTAGGACACTTTTTAGGAAGCATCACTAACATCTTAGTGCCAACTGGGTGACTTTGGGCCAGTCACAGACTCTTAGCCCAACCCACCTCACAGGGTTGTTGTTGTGGCGGTAAGATGGAGGAGGAGATGTAAGCTGCCTTGAGCCCTTTGTAGGAAAAAGGCAGGATATAAATCGAAAGTGAATTGAATTGAATCTTAGCAAGGCCTCTGAGACAGAACCGCACAACTTCAGCCTTGCATGTCAGGATGTGTATCTTTTGCCTTGCAGGACTAGATCTAGTTGCATAACTCTACCCAATGTCTCATTATGATTTTGGGAACTTAACAGTACAAGAACTTCAGCCTATTATACTTGTTTCCCTTCCTCAGCATGTCTTTGGAGACTTGAGTTTGGCTTCAGGTATCTGTCTACCTTACTACTACAAAGCACCATAAAATAGTGTGGTCAGTTTGACCCCTACCGATTCATCTTCAAAGGTACCTACTTCAACTTCATAAAGCAAGCACTGAAGTGTCCCAGATATCCAAGCGTTTGTCCCCAACCTCCAAAGACTTGTTGCGTAGTTCAGAGTCCATGACCTTGAATAGTTCAAAGCTCATTTGGAGTTGCTCACCTAGAATGTAATCACTGAGGTTGTCAACACACTCACATAATTCTGCTGCTTCCAAAAGGTGGCAAAATCCCTTTACCTCACTTAGCAAAGACCGTCAGCCCTGTTCTGCTGAAGGAATTGCTGTTGGCCCTCTTCAAGTCACTACTTCTTGTAGAACAGAAGTGTTCTTTATACCATCCAAAGAAAAAGCAAGAAACTGCTCATTTACCTGAGGTACTTAGTTATAAGTTATTCAAATGTATGATACTAATGCACCATGTCAGCTTGCTTTCTCCTTTGTGACTGATACTGAGTTTCTCAGCAAGAAGGATCTGCCCAATGGAAGCCACAATGGCTTTTAGTAGAATGAAGACATGGGCTCACAAGCTACTTCCTTTTTCACCCAAGTTCTCCCATGTTCACAATCTACCAATGTACAAAATACATGTAATGAAACTGGTCCCTGGACACAAGTTCTACCATCTGGATGACTGTTTTTTTTAATGTTACTAAGAATTGTAATATTTTGCCTTATATTTTATTGTTGCTGTATACCACATAGAGAGTCATGTTGGGTTATTCAGCAGCCTATACATCTAAAATAAATAAATAAATAGATAGATAAAATGTAACAAAGTTTTAAATAAAGGATACGTGTTGTCTTGTGTACATGTGAGACTGAATTCATGCTCTAGAGAGCAACATTCTGTTGAGAGAAATCGAAGAAGTAGATGCTGCCAACTCTCTACTAGTTCCCATTGGCAGATTTTCCCATCTTTTCCATGAATGGTCCTCTAGCAGTCAAATCACATTGATGGAAGTTTCCAGCAATAGAAGAAGTCCACTGTCTCTTTTACATTTGAACCAAGAACAACTTGTATGCTCTAATGGATGAGCTCATTATTCTATGAGCATTTCTCATATGTTCTATATCCCCCTCACATCCTATTTCCTTTTTTAAATGTTCTAGTTAATCAAGACATATATTCCTCTAGTGCCCCCACCCACAGTTCCCAAATCTACACTGAGGAGTCACAAAAAAACCATTTCCCACTCTTCCAAACTTAAGTCAGTAAGTCCTGCACCCAAAATACTAGTAGCTTCATCTGTGCGCCTGGCTCTTACACCCCACTTGGGATAGTAAGCATCCCTCTAAATGTAGGCAGACAAACATTGTAAATGCTAATTGGAAACATTCTGCTTACTAAGACTACACAAAATTAACACGGCCACATAATGCTACTGCTCTATATGTGGACAGACCCATCCTGCTTAGAATTTTGAAAGACGCTAAAGTTTTGTTTCTAGATTCAAATTTAAAACACAGAGCATTTCTGATATTCGCACCTCTCAGACTTTACCCTGTGCTCTTTTCCTCCCAATCTGCAGATGGAAAAATGACTGCTGCAGTTCCTCAGTCTCCATTACACTCTGGCTGTCTATGCCGGACAGCATTCAAACTTTATATACCCAGTTTTCTGTGACCTATGGGAGACATTCCAGAAGCACATTTCATAGTTGTTCAGTGTGTGTCTCACTGTTAAGGCAATGGGAGGTGGAAAGGCTGATTGTCTCAATCTGCCATGTGTGCACTCCACTAACTACATGACAACTTTACAATTTTACAGGCCTAGCTATCACTGAGATTAGCAATGCAGAAATCTGGTCCACAGCCTTAACTTTGGCAAAGAACATACCCTGGATCCACAGACATGAAAGAGCCTACAGAATGCCTGTCTTGGACTAGGCATTCACACAATTGTCCAATGAATAAGCTTGCTATTCTCCCATGTGTTGGGCTTCACAGAACCCATGAGGGAAAAACACAGTTGCTCATCCATTACTGTTGCTCTTTAAAATGGTATTCTGTGGAGTCACACATGCTAGACTACATTCCCACCATTTAAGACTGTGCTGAGGGTCACGGTTTTCTTTATTTATGCCCTAGATCATGCTCTCTGCAATAATCATAAGATGAAACTGAGCAAAACATGTACACTCTGCCTGCTGGCCCCAACCAGGCAAAATTACTGAGCATAGGCAAGGGGAGCAATTTCCTAGTTTTCCAGAACTTCCTGTAGGATTTTGCTTATACAGTGGTGCCTTGTAGTTCAAACAGCTCTAACTTGGAACAATCCAGAGTTTGAACACTAAAGTCGAGATAAAATCGCTCTGAAGTGCAAATGATACTTCTATGTTCAAACTGCACATGCAGTGGAAAAATGCAATCATTGAGTGAGTGTCATCTGTTGCATGCCCAAGTCGTCTGTCGCTGTGAAACATCTCTTGCTCATGCAGTATAGTAAATGCAATTTTCATTTTATTATACAGTGCATATTTATGTGCTTTATTGTTTTCAAGTTTTAATAAATAATTTTGGCATGTAAATGTGTTATTTTTTTTACCTTAAATTATATGCATTTGCTGTTTAAGTTTATCAAAATGGGCACTGTTTAGGGTCTGGGAATGGAATGGATTAATTCACTTTCCATAATCTCTGGTGGGGAAACTTGATTTGGACTTTGAGCAGCCTCCTGAAATGAATTAAATTTGAAGTATGAGACACCACTGTAATTGGTACAGGCATATTCCTGTATATGGGACTGCACATTCCCACAAACATTGTTCTACAGAATAATATGAAACTGTGACTTTTCACCCGAGACCCTCCACCTACTCAAATTCCATGTCCACTGTGAAATGAGTTATTTATAGACAGAATGAAAGTTGTGACAGCACCAGCTAATAGACAAAACATCTCCTTATTTATATATATGGACAGTTGGTACAATAATCCTTTCCATCCTCCAATGTAAATCATGAAGAAGCATCTAAGAAATAGAATCCAGGATGGAGCTATCTTGACTGGATCATGTGGCACTCATTCCAAGTCAGACCATTAATCTCTCCTGCCCAGTACTGTCTAATACCACTGGCACCACATATTATTTCTTTTCCGAATACCATGTAGCTGGAGACTCCAAACATGAGAATGTACACAGGCAAAATGTGTGTTCTTTATCAGACAGCTATGCAGTTTTCACAGACACAGTCAAGGGATAGCAAACACCTAAATAAGACTAAATGGGAGAGGGGAAGGTGGTTCAGACTGGTGTGATGAATCATATAAGCCAGTAGACCCAAGGTGAACAACTTGTGGACCTCCGCCTGTAATGACCTTTGCACATTACCACTCTGTCATGAAACCATGCAAACTCGCCTAAAAAGGGAACACATACGGCATAATGGTCAAACGCTGTGTGAATCACCAGTTTCAGTCCTTAAGGGATGAGGGTAAACCCCTATTGTGTTATGGCATTTACAAATGTCAAACATGTATTATAGTGGCCACAGTAAATGCACTGGTAGCTATTAGCCCCCATTCAACTAAAGGGGGCATTCTCTAATCCTTATTGTTCAATGCTCTTTATACCTTCCACCCCAGAGTAGGTTCTACACCTCCATATATTACCAGCCAGTCCACTACTTTGAGTCACTTAAGATATTACATCAACAGCAGAAACCAATTAGACAAGTGACCTATCAAATCTTTGGCCTGATGGCTCTTATCAGTCAAAAGTTAATCCAAGGCTGCAAGCAAAGAGTATGATCCAGACATTGCTGCCTTCTTCTCAATGAATTTAGTCTTGATGAATTAAATATTATCGGCATCATTCTACAGAAGTAACGACTGCTGAGATCTAGAAAGTGTCATTCTGCTTCATGTGGTATAAAGATCATTTTAAAATACTTTTTTCTCACAATGTATGAGTGTCACACTATTTTAAAAAATCCACCAAGAAGGCTTTCAGGACTGCAAACCCCATTAACCAGTGACAAAAGATGGCCTACTCAGTAAATGCCAGCTTAGAACATAGAAGACAGATCCTTAGCTTAGGAACAGGCTCCAGCATATTCCTGTTCCTCATCTGTGTAACAGGAACAACAGTGGCATCCTACTTCACAATACCATTGCAATGATAGGCATTCTGGGCACAATACCATCTCTTATCACTATAGCATTTAAGGACTAAATTACTGATGGTATCCATCCTGCTTTTTGAAATCATGAAAGTTTACAGAGGCATTCTTTGCAGGAAAGATCTTATTTTGATACTTCCTATTAGAGTTTGAAACAAGTACCCAAGCTTTTGCTTCCCCTCACCTGAACAGCTGGCTGCTTGTTTTCATTGCTGCTGGGAGAGGTCAGCCCTGTTGCCTGCTGCAAAAGGAACTGTCGTGCCACCTGAAGAGCCTGGAGCAAAAGGATACAAAACAAGATGAAGATGGAAAAAGTTAGTCTCTCCTTTTTGACTCTTTCCAATATAATCTGCTGAAAGCACCATCAACTTTGAAGAATGCTAACTAATCACATGTTCAAGACAGCAGGTCAAGTACAGCTTGCCAAAGTATTTTATACTAAGCATGCAATGCTAACACAGAAATAATGCAAATAGCAGAACTTCCATGAAGCCGTACATTTCTATTAATATTTCTCTTACACTTATGCAAAGGAGACAGAAATGCATTTAACACACCAGTAAAATCTGGGGCCCACTGAATGGTCTGGGAATTCCAAAGGCTACATAACAAAGCCAAGTGAAAGTAGGCTTGATCAGCAATCTGAATGGGAAACCACTGAAATCCCAATATATGAACAGGGTATGTAATACATCATGGAAGGATCCAGGAAAACCAAATTGATTTTCCTGTTCTGACATACACTGGTATGTCTTCTTTCCTGTGTCCAGTTCCCACTCAAATCTCATGCAGCACTGAGAAGCTACCAATGTTTTCAACACACTGAGTGTAAAAAAGGCAATGCTTTTAGAGTATCTTGTAATTACAGAAGACTTAATCTAAGTCTTCCTCTCTATGATCTCCTGCTACTATGCCCCAAAATAACCTCCAAGAGTAGAACCACAGCTTTCTTGCCTATTACTCTCATAGCTGCAGCAGTAGAAGATGCACAGCTATAATTTTAGAAATCACAGGAAACTGAGGATGTATCAATGGGGGACTAAAGTCACATGTTATATCTCCATGCAACATGTAATATTATGTGGTTCACATGATTATGTCTTGGAGCAGTTGAGATTAATATGCATATATGTTTAAACATTTATATTCCATATTTCCATTACAAAAGAAATGTGTAAGGTGACTTTTTGAAAAGCAAGAACTTTGTACAACAGGTTTATTTATTTATTTGGCTTGTGTGCTGCCCCATTAGCCATAAGCTCTCTGCACAGCTCACAACACAGTAAAACAACATTTTAGCAGCAATGAAAAACAGTATAATTCAATCAGATTGACAGTGTGTAACTATTGAAAGTAATGTGTTGATTGCACAGACAAAAAGAGCTACTAAATAACTTAATTTGAGGTGCAATCCTATGAATGTTTAAATATGTTATCTGTCTGAACATTCACAGGATTATACATAGTTACTAAATTAACAAGGTGTCATCAGAAATAAAAGCACAAACAGGGGCCATCCATGCGCTGATGTGAACAGTCTTTAAGAAGAGAGTTCCCATTCTTAGATTTTCTGTTACTGTTTTTGTTTTGCTTTTTAAATAGACAGGCATCTGCCTGTCATGAATGTTCTGAAAACTGTCACTTGAAATTACTTCCATGGGATCAAGAGGGAAAGCTTTACATAGTTTGGATTTCCAATCCTCCCCCCACCCTCATTTATTTCAGACCTCAAATAACAAGCACAGACGTATGTGGTCAGGCAGGCGGCAGGCTAGCATGCTTTCAAAACTGAAGTTCCAGGCACAGATATTTTTTTTAAAATCCTTCCCAATTCAAAAATTCTCAGTGTGCCGGGGTTGGGGGTGGTGGTGGAGGAGCTACAAATGACCAGTACATATATTGCCTTTCGGCAGGGCTGGGCTAAATGATCCACTGACTCCCCTAAACTCTGATTTTACAACTATACACCAATTAATTCTTACACCTCCCAACAATTCAAGTGGCTAATGACCACCACAAAACAAATGTGAAAGCAATTATACTCCCGAACCTGACTTCAGAAGTATCCAGTGTGTGTGTGTGTGTGCATGCACAAAGTGGCTGGTCTCTTAATTTCAACAATGAAACCATGGCTGCCAAGTAGGGGAAAAAAGCGGAGAAAAGAAAGGTGTGCGTGAAGGCATGGAACTCGTAAAAGAACACAAGCATGAAAAAAGAAGAAGTGCACCCTCGTGTGTCAGATCAGAGAGGCCATACCCCAGAGGAAAAAAAGCATATGTTTGCGTCGGGGAGAGGGGTTTCATTCAGGAGCCAAGGGCAGACTGCAAGCAGAGAATAACCTCTAACACAAACAATCCTGTGGTACCAAAAGCGGCTGCTCCCAAAGTCCTGCTTCCTCATACGTTCCTTATTTTGCTTTGAGAAGGTTTTTTTTTTTAAATGGTACATTTCTGAACAACAAAGTCATTGTAGCCCTGCCTGCAAGACAGGTTTTTATTACAGCATAGAGACAGGAGGGGGGAGGACAGGGGTAGAGGTCGACGGGTCATAGCCCAGCTTGGCGGTGCTGCAAACAGCATGTGGGTTCCAGTGAGCTGTCAACACCACAGCCGTAAATCAAGGCTCTGGCTTCCAAAGGGCGGCTGTGCTCTCCCCAGTCAGCAGAGGCACTTGTAGGGTGTGTCCCAGAGAAAGAGCCGCTTGTTAATTTTCCACATTTCCAGCTATAAAGAACAAAGTTACTTTCCGTCAGGCATTTAAACCTTGCATACAGTACCGTACTCTCTCTGTTTGGAGGAGCAGCTGATTTTCTACACATGGATCAGTTTAGCGCGTGCACACTTATCCGTATGCAGTATAATTGCATGCATCACTGCATGTAAATACAAAACAGAGATCACACTGTTGTAATTATAAATAAGACTGGTGCATAACTTTGGAAGTGTGCACTGTCTAGATCTGCAGTTAAGATACACTCATCAAAAGGTAGTATTGAATACATACCATAGCAACATATCTATCTACATGAATACGAGTAACACAGTGATCACACCTGGAAGACACCATTGTGCATATAACCGATCTATGGGAATAGCAGGATGAAATTTCTAGGAGTAACTTAATTTCTAACTGTACAAATTAACAAGACCACATTCCTTATTTGCTTATGTAAGATGCATGTACAATTTTTAATTTTCAGTATGATCTGCATTACACTGTCCAAATATACTGCCTGTGTAAAGTGTACATTTAAACTTAAATATTATCATTCTAGAGTTGTACGCCCATGCTAATGCAAGGGAAATTTAGCACTTCCTATGGAAAACCCCCAAACATACCACACCCTTATTACTGGGATGTAAGCTCCATTAGGTTCTGCTCAATGGGTCTACACATCAACACATGTAATTTTAATAGCCCATTTCTCTATAAATAGTTCCACAAATTGGAGAGGCATACGGGGTTTTGTCTTATAATGAAAGTAACATTTCTCTACAGCCACCAGCCAAAATGACAGAAGAAAATAGTTACAATGAAATCCTATTCAAAATTCAACAGGTTTAAAGTTTCACTTGCACCATCTGGCTTCCAAATACCTGTGGCAACAGCTCAGACAGCACTTTTATGCACTTCCAATGTGTACAGAACAGCCGGCTTCTCTTCTAACAGCTTTCCTTTTGCCCAAGGACAGTTTCCTGGAGGAAGGATAGCCTTGATTGCAATTCAAAAGGGCTAGATTTTATTCATGACACCGTTTACTGACCTGCTGGGTGACCTGGATTGAATCCATTCAGCTCTGTGGCCTCACAAACTGTGGACTCTTATAGTATCACTGACCCCACAAGGAAAAACATGCACTGCAAAGGTAAGTTCAAGGATCATTGTAAAGCATTTCAGACAACTTGACAAACGAAGAAACGGAGGCTAAAGGAGAAGTGGGGACTTTTCCCTGTAACACAGACACCAAACAAACAGGAGACTTATGTCACTTAATTCTGGGACAGGAGCCTCTTGGAGCCTTTAATATTGCTGCTTCCTGCTCTTTCCTCTAATGCTTCACTACTTAATCAATTAATTAATTTGCTAAAGTTCAAGAGGAGTCCTAGGCAAAATCACGAGAGAAAAGAGGTATGCTACAATACAAATGCCACACTGATTGGAAAGCCGACTTGCCAGAGGAAACTGTGATGCTGCAGCCAGCTGTATGCAGTCTCCAATAGAACCCATTTTAATTGCATTAGCCGCACAACAGGAGCTTTGTTCACAAGGGGACAGTAGGGACAACCCCCTGTTTTATGGGCTTTGGGAACCCTGTAAAGTCTGTGTGAGTTTATTAAACTGGTAGTGGCTTGTGCAAGAAGAATACAACTTGTGACGGGTGCCGGAACATGTCAAGAGGGCACCAAGCCAGGCTGGTAGGCAGGAGGCAGCATGAGGCCCGCTGCTCTATTAAGGGGATCCACAGCAGGGTGCCTAAGAGCCAAGGGAACGGCGGACAGAACGTAAGAGCCTCACCCCACAGGAGCTCTCATGGGGGAATTTAATTCACTCCCTGCTGACTCTCTCACTTTGTTGTGCTCTGAAGCACGAAATTACAAGATTTACAGGAAAAAATGACATGGCCTTACAGTCTCACACTGGGGCCTCCCTGTGACAACTATGCAGCTCACCCACAGAAGTGCACACTCCCCCCCCCCCCGTTAACAGTAAAGAAAAGGAGAAAAATACCCCCCCCAAAAAAGTTAGAACTCCACTTTGCAGGAGAAGTTATGTCCCTGCTGTTTTTCCAACACAGAGTGGTTGCAAATGAGCACCAGCACAGCAACACTTCCTCTTAATTATATAACTAAAACTCATACATTTATCCCACACACGTATATACTTATTGCTAATCAACGTTTTTGAAATTTTGTAGACAGGATACACTTCCCAGCAAGGAAAGTGGTTGTTCACTTTCAGCCCTCCGAAAAGGAATCCCCCACTCCCATCCTTTATATCTGACACAGGGCAAGTACAGATAGGTAGTTTGGCCACTGAGGTCGTCAGAGGGAACCAGTGCACTAACAGTACAAGCTGATGGCTCAGAACAAGTGAGGTGTTAATTTCCTGCTCTGACACCTGTTGTGAGACAATTTGCTTTCTTTTCAGTTCCACAAAAATAACAGCAGCTTGCTGGATACTTAATGCAGTAATGACTTCAGAATGCTTCCACTGTTATTCCTAAAAGACTGTTGTACTGAGCAGCAACTAAATATGCAGTTTTTACTAACTAGC